ATGCGTCCGGACAGTTTATTACGGCGAGTGGAACAAAAATAACAAGTCCGCAATTAACATGGATATATAAATTATGCAAAAATAGAAAAGAGTGAACTTTGAGGTCATGCTGTGCGACTTTGAAAGCCGTTAGAGAGATGAGTGGATGCATTTGAATTAGTAGTATACCAAGGTATCCAGTGATGTAATTTTACCCACAAACGGACTTGAAGTTTTTAAGCTAATTTTTTTTAAACCACTTTTGTCCAAAAAAGCATATTTTTGACCCAAAATCAAAAACGCATTCTGGATATTTAAAATAAAGACAAGTTTTACAAAGTTTGTATAATAAGCTTTCAGAAAATATATAACATGTTGGATATATAATACCATCTTCATTGTCTAATTACTCAATTAAAAAGCAAGCCGAATAAACTGCATCTCTACCTTAAGAACACAGTTGAACTCTGGTGACCTTGCCCTTTGTTATATAATATAATTCCCTTTATCATAGTTTGTTTCAATATAAATATGCATTGTCATAATAAATTTTGAATACAAACAAGTTTTGGGGTTGAACCAACAGTGGGGAATCAGTCTACCGAATGTCCATTAAAGATGTAAATATCTTACAAAAACATTGGTGCCTTATTCAAAGTAATTCAGATATTTTAGTATAAAAACAAATGCCTCATCACATTTAGACGTGAATAGATTCATAAAACATGCAAGATAACAGAAAATCTTAGCTGGCTTTTGTCCAAGTATTTTGTACAGGTGTCTGTCAAAAATTAATGATTCACTGAGACAAATATGAACTGCCTCATTGTGTGACTACTGTATTATATGAAAAGTAAAAAAAACACCCTTTATGAATAGCTATCATGTTGCAAGCTCTGCTTTGTATGCAAATCAACTTAAATAGTTAGTTGGTGTCCAGTGAAGGGAGAAATCAACAGTACTGTTGCCTCCTGAGAATCTACATCTTCAAACACTGCAATCTTTGAAGTGCATTTTTAAACCAGTATTATAAAAACTCTATCATTCTGTTCTAATAGCTGAAACATATTCCTGTGAGTTTTCATTTGTCGAATGAACTGTTTGTCAAATACAGAATACATATATTTTAGAACAATTTTCTTTTTAAAATGTGGATCAAATGTTTTTCTTTTAATGTATTTTTTAGTCCCCATTCGGACGCAGTCCGAAAACGGGGACTTATGTTTTGACCTACGTGCGTGCGTGCGTCTGTGCGTGCGTCTGTGCGTGCGTCCGGACCTGCGTCCGGACCTGTATCTTTGAAATGCCTGGACCAATCACAATCAAACTTCACACATACATCATACATGATAGTATACATATGCACGTCAATTTGTTTCACGATCTGATTCAAGATGGCCGAATGGCAGCCATTTTTGTGCTAAAAATCATAAAAAACAAGCATTTCTCAGCTGTTTACAGATGAATTTTGTTCAAACTTGGTATATGCATTAGACATTATAGGACCTTGATGCACATCATTTTGTTTTACGATCTGATTCAAGATGGCCGAATGGCGGCCATTTTTGTGATAAAAAATCATCAAAATCAAGCATTTCTCGGCTGTTTACAGATGGATTTTGTTCAAATTTGGTATATACATTAGACATTATGGGACCTTGATGCAAATAATTTTGTTTTTCAGATAAGACTCAAAATGGCCGACTGGCGGCCATTTTGTTTTAATGAATGTGGTTCTCATGCCATATGTCTGACTTGCTT